GCACCTGTCTGCCCGGGCTCCGGGCAGGTTAATAGCTCAGAGGGAGACAGGCCCTGGGAGCCCGGTAAGGGCTGTCCCCCAGGGCAGGGTTGCATGGTGTTTTGGGGAGCCCTGTGGAGCTGCCCGGCCTTTGTCCTGGCCCCGTAACCCTGCACGCGGCACGAGGAAGGTGTTCCCACTCAGCACAGCTGCACAGGGCAGAAAGCTGCCTTCAAGGGAGCAAGCACCGACGGTTCCCTCGCCTTGCACCCATGGCTGGTGCCTCATGCCCTGGGATGTGCTGCAGGGAGTCGCGCGGGGCACTGCGCCCGCTGCCCCACAGCGAGGGTCTGCCTGCAGGACACGGCAGCAGTGAGCCCCAGCTGGGATGCTCTCAGCTCCCCAGTTCCACATGCATCCCCACAGGGCGATGGCACCATGGTGCCCGGCAGTGACCAGGTGGCTGGACCATGTACAGAGCTCAGCATCGAAACCTGAAGGCAAATATTTCTGGTCAGCTATTACAGCTCTCCTTGGGCTGTGCTCTGTGTTTCTGCTATTTCACCCCCTAGACTGGCATACGGATAGCTTGCTCTGACTCCCTAGACTATTGCAATGAATATTGATAAATGCACACTAACATTTTTTTGGTGTACGACAATGTGATCAGCTTGGGAACAGCACTGATTGATCAGCCTAAATCAAACTAGATTCAGCTTTTGCTGGTGTTATCCTAAAAAGCCCCACACATTCATGGGGCACTGCCATATCCAGGCATTTAAAAATACAAAATAAAAATTATGGGCTTGTTTAAAAGGCTGCAGGGCTGGGCTCCAAGGGATGGGGGAAGAAGCCTTGTAGTTCTCCACTGGGGAGATCTTATGAACCCAGCTCCAGCTGGCCACAGCACACTGGGGTTTTGGGTGGATTTCAAGGCACAAGTGGCCAATCTCTCCTTGCTTGTTAGCCAGAAAAACACCGCCTCATCCCTGCAGCCAGGGCTGTAACTCCTGTCAACCCCAACAGGATCAGACAGCGACAACCAGCAAACCCCTGGTGGGACAACACCTCCTAGAACCTCCCTGGTGCTATGGGTCAGTCTTGGCAGCTCCTGAGGGCACAGTGTGCCCGAAACCATTCCCCCCACAGCAGCTCGGTATGGCACCAGGGTGTGCAGGAACAGGGCTGTCCCCCCGCGGGCACGCCGGCTTTAGCTCCTGCCCCACAGCCCAACTCATGTGCTTTGGGCAGGCGACAGGGACACCTCGCATGGCTGGGCAGCAGCAAGATCAGTCCCGCAGGTGGTTTTAACACACCCACCCCACTGGGAACAACCGGCTTTTTACCCTGCACGACCCAAAGCATTGCATCTTCCCCTGCCCCTCTGTGCCAGCCACTGCCAGAGCAGAGCAGGCAGCACATGGAGGATGCTGGGGCCATGCCTGGCCCATGGTGACAAAGACATGGGGGCAGGGGGACTCCTGGCTCCACCCAGAGCCCAGAGACACAGCCCAGGGCGGCGCAATGACTGCTGAAAAGGGGATGGCGGGAGGGATGAGCTGGCACTGTGCTGGCCTTTTGTGAGTCAGGTCCTTGAGGTGGGACGCTCTCCATCGCAAGGCCTGGCAAGATCCAGGCACCAGCCCCCACAGTGAGACGTGCAGCAGGTGTGCTGGAGAAAGCTTTCAGACAAGCCCCTACTTCCTCAGGAGCAGGTTAACTCCATGCAACACAACCGGTTTCTGCTGCTCCTCCTCCAGCCGAGGCGTCTTGGCCCCAGGGCTTGGCCTTACGGGCCATGCTCAGACCTTACACCGAGCTGCGCCAAGCACTGGGCACGGCTTGGAGGAGGTCAGGCTTCAGTGGCACTTCGAAGGCAGAGATGTGAAGGTGGAAACACGAGGTAGAAATGTGGCCTCATGCAGACAGAGCGAGCCTGGGGCTGCCCGCCTGCCTGCCGAGGCATACCCCAAGCCTCTGCTCCCTGCCTGCGCCAGGTGAAGATCCCTCCCGCCTGTGCGTGCCTGCTCATCCCTGTTCCCCCGCCATCCTTGGGACACCCCGGCCACGATGCTCCCCTGTAGTCTCTGCAGCTCAGCCTGGATGTGGAGTGAGATTGGGGCTGGGGGACACTGTTGTCCTCCCTGGTCACTGCCTGGCCCTGCACCCATCTCCAGCAGCAGAGAAAGCAGGGAAGCTCAGCCATCACACCTCCCTCCCGCCACCCGGGGGGAGCCTCAGAGCCCTGTTCCCATCTCTGCTGCCATTAGCGCCTCCCAAATCCCCCTAGCAAGAGGGCAGCTGCCCCTGCCTCACCTTGCCTGGCATCCAAACCTCCAGGTGAAGGGTGGTCCCCACAGCCTCCAGCCCAGCTGGCGAGGCCCCAGACCCACAGAGCTGGCGGGGGGCAAGG